ATGGGTCCCCAGACGGTTGACTGACGACAAGAAACGGACCATGCTTGACATTTCAAGATATATTTTGTCTCGCTACGACGATGAACCTGATTTTATCTACCGGATCGTAAACGGTACGTACTATGCAGACGAATTGAGACGGCTGTGTCAAGAAATCGCGCGTAAAAGGAGAGGCAAACTAACTCAAGGCGTTCTGCTCCTGCACGACAATGCGCCAGTTCACACATCCCAAGTTGCGATGGCTGCTGCAACTGACTGTAGCTTTAAAATTCTTCCCTATCCACCATATTCTACAGACTTAGCCACCTCTGACTTCTACCTTCGTAGTAGACGTTTTAGTAGCATTGAAGGTATCATGGAGTCGGTCAATGAGTTATTTGAGGACCAAAATAGAGAATCTATTTTGTATGGTTAAACAAGTTGGAGCACAGGTTAAACACATTTATCAGCTCCTTTCAGAAATATAAAATGATAAATATTTATGCATTTTAATCAAGTAGACCTGGAGCTAACAACAATTTGCCAATCCATGCGGCAATAACTGATAATGCACAGCTAAATGGTACCTATGTAGTGAACTTGTAGTGAACTATGATATAACATTGCAGAATAATGTATATTTGTGCTTTTCCGCTTTAAAAGGGAGTCCCCGATTATTGCCAAAATGACTGCCTTCAACTGTTGTTAATGTTTAAAAGATATCACACTAGTTAAATTCCATCTATCCCTCTTAGAATAAACATTAACATAAGTATTTGCAACAGCCTTGGTTCCTTATGGAATGAAATCAGATTTTGTGAAAAGGCAATTGCAACTTCTCGGGCCTTTTCGTCGGTCATAATAACCGATTATTCCGATTGGAATGCGGGTGTTTGATTATCAAAAATGAAATGTCGCGATATGTACAATGAATAGCGAACTAGAGAATTTCGCAATGCAAAAATAGTCAAGATAAATTATCTTCGGGTTTTTTATTAGTACACAGTTGGTTATTATGTATTGCTGTACCTATAAATAGAATAATGACTTTAACATTGTGAAAGTCCGAAAATCTATATATAGAAGTAGTTTTAGTTTAACAAAACGGATATTCGTGTCACGCTATGGTTATAAATAACGAACTGGAGAACTTTGCTGGAAATGAAATGCAAACATGTTATGTTTTTCGTCCGGCCATTTATAAATATTATACAATTCTGGTAAAAATCAATTAACCATTGAAAAGTTTATAAGACTATATGGTCATCAGATGTCTACTAGTTCTTCTTCACTCGCTGCATTTCTTGCTTGGACGCCCTTTGATGCTTTGCATCGATGCTTTTCTTGTATTTCAATGTCTCATTAATTTAGAACGTTTATGTACTGATGAGGGGAAGTAACCGTTGCGAAATGTGACAAGTATCAGCAACGGTTACTTCCCCTGATCAGTACAGAAAAATGAGTAGAAGAAAATATGTTTATTACTGATATGAAATAAGATACACATGTACTGTTGACTTTATGCATGTATTTAGGGGTAAATAGACATGTTGAGTAGGATAAGAAAACAATTAATAAATTAAAGTGCACAACTTTTATTACCTAAAGCATACATTAACGGGGACTATATTGCAGCAATGTAAAACGTTCGGTTTTAAAACACGGGAAGATATTAATTCAATTTTATTAATTGGCGAATAGTAGTAGATCATTTTATTTATACACCATACGGAGCATATAGGCGTTCTTACACTATGTTAAGAGAATACTTCTTATAACCATTGCTAGCTAAATATATTATAATGAAGTTCAAAAATTGATTATACTAGTTCGTAAAATGACCATTACCATGGGTTGAAAGAATGCTTTCTCTGTGTATCGATGGGCATGTCGGACTCTGACCATATAGACTCATCTGTTTGAAATCATTGTATTTAACTTTCGTAAAACAGTTCCCTCTTAAACATACACATTATCTTGTCTTTTTCGCTGAAGTAGTTTGCATGAGCCCAGAGTCGGTCATGTTATGCTTGTGAAATCTTTTTTATGACGCCTGTGAGATATACTGTTTTTTTCTATCTACTACTAACAAATGTTTAACTAAACTTTAACTTACCTTAAAAAAAGACCCTTATTTGATCAAAATGTAACGATTGATTATTTCTCAACGAATTTTGATCAAAATTTTATATTGAATTGTTGGCAAGGTCAACTCTCGTTGTTGAAAAATGACCCATATGTGAACAATTTTCAACGGGGTCGAAATTTAATGTAAGACTGGCAGTTAGTAATGCAGTTATTCTCCAGAAAATTTAGTAAAACATTGCAAGTTTGTTTTTTATAATTTTGAAAAGTTTGACAATTGAACAAATTGTTAATGATATTCTAAATGTCATTTATTTGATGAATATGTAAGAATTACGAGAAAATTATTTTCAAATTATTTAGTAAAAAAAGATGATTGCTGGGAAACATTCAAGTCTAAAATGAAACACAGATAAGTACATACATTGCTCGAACATCATGTACATTATTGCTATATGCAGTGAGTGCACTCACCGCGCATTAAAACTAGCCGTTACCATCTGAAGGAGATTCATTTTCAAAATTCTAAAAAAAAATGCATTATTAAATCAATGGTCAACTAAATCAATGTAAAGGCTTATATAACTTTATCGTTGGTTTACAAGTTATTATAAATATCAGTCTTTAGAGTGTTAAAAATAATATTACATTTCCCTTCTGAGACTGAAAGTTATTGGCTTTTTGTCACCAGTATAAAGACAAGTCAGCCTTGCTTTCTAAGTACTGTTAGCTGGTTAAATTCAATTGTTCATCTTGATATCATCATAATTGATAATGGACAATGTGAAAAATGGAAGGTGGACAAATTCATGTAAAAATACCCACCATATTAGGTATTAACTGCAATAAACTGACCTCTAAAATATAAGTAACACATGTATTTTAAAACATTTTCCCAGATTATTTTTCTGTTATGTTTTTTCTGAAATCTGATATTTTGTTGGTAAATTACTGATTACAGTATGGGTTTTGTTAATTTAGAGATTTATTTGTTTTTTTATAAATGTTGACGGCATATTTTTGTTGCATTGTAAATGAATGATTGTTTCAGCCAATAATATTTGTTATTTCATTATGTGCTATTTAAAGTGAATGTGATTTTTAATGAAATTTGGATTGGAATAAAATTTACATTGTCAATGAGATTGCTTGTTTTTATTTTGCTTATAATGTGAATTTGGAAACAAGTATTAGCCTTTCCTCATGAATATCTATTATGATATTTCTAGCTTTGAATTTGGAACAGTTTTAATCAACTTCAATTCAAATCAATGTAAAATCATACTTAAATGTTCTTAAGTAAGTTTATGCAAAGATAAGAGTGCATGAATGTGCAGACTGGCCTGGCTGCGTTTTGGAAGCATACTGAACTCACTATCACCACCTTTATTCTACTTCAGTTATAGTCTGTAGGAAACTGTTAACCTTCTGAGAATCTCAAAACCTAATAACAGTTAAATGTGACTCAAACAGTCAGTTACAAGAAAAGTAAGTATAGACTATTTCTTGGTTTATATGATTGTTATTCCTAGCTAACATTGTCTCCCTTGTGAAGATTTATGCCTGAATAAGTTGACTAAGTTGAGTCAATATTCATATCTGACCGATTATTAATCATCTAAACTACAATAAGGTTTGGGAGAAGGTCCATATAACTTTTGTTGTTATCAATGGCAAGGGATGCAATCTTCGCATAATGAGTAACAAATGTATTTGATGTGTATTTTGGCAATGTTACAATTGAAAAATATGTCTTGACAATCTAAATCAATTTTATACGTCCTAAAGGATTTTAGACATATAATGGCCTGCATGACGCTTGTTGTCCATCTATCAGTCCATCATCAACTTTAATTAATTAAGTGTCTGCTCTATATCTTTTGAATGGAAAGAAATTAAAACTTGGTATAAATTTTACACCGTTAGGATATCGGATTATTATTTATTTTACGTAATATCAAAGTAATGCAAAATTTGTTTCCAGATACTAGTGTCTGTAATAATAAGTAGACAATATTTGATAGCTGGTAGATTTATTCTTTTTCAATCAATTCACTATGTATCAAATACAAAACAAAACATAAAAGATCATTCATAAAGAAATCATACAAGTGATGTATATGTATCTGAATTTATCTATATTATAAAGGATTTCAAAAGTTTACTTATACATTTCATTTAGATATTTCAAAATCTGTAAAACTATATTTGATAGCAATATTGATTTATACTATCTTACAAAACAAGATGAAGTAGTATTTCTTTATTATTATTCTTACAAATTATTTAAGTGGGGAATGGCATTAATTACGTATAAAGTACTCGCAAGGCAGTGCCATTAAAAGTACCGAAATGTTTTACTCCCTTTAATCAACAAAATTACTGATTGTAAAATAAATTATTTGACAATTTTGAATTTGAAAAGTATTTACAAAGAAACAACATATCTAAATAGATAAGAATGATTAAAAGAAAATAATTTCTTAAATATATTACAAGAATACATTTTTTTCTGTGAAATTTAATGTTCATCTTTAATCTGTGAAGGGAATACAAATCTCGATGTTAATAAAATTACTAAACTTGTAACATAACTTAAATACATGTATGTAAAAATGTAAGAGTTATCTATTAAAACCTAATGTGAAATGAAATTACAACATTTGTAACTATGTATGATATAAAAATCTGGTAACAAAGTGATCCCTCAGAAGCATTAATCAGAACAAAAAATATAATAAATTAAAATAAACCAGAAAATAAAATACCTGTAAATAATAAAAAAAACAATATTTAATCTCTGGTAGATATATTTTATCAGTCAATTTACTATGTTACTGCCAGTGCATTGTCCAAGCTTACATGCAAGCATCTTGTATCTCATGTAATTGCCAAATACCTTGATGAATAGTCTTTAATTTTCTTATTTGAAATTATTCATTTGCTTTATGTCACTTTGACTTTGTGTCCTTAATTTGAATTTACAACAAGGTATTTTTTTAAAAAAACAATACTGGTTTGAGGCAAACATTACATAAAAACAATATTTGTTACACAATGAATTTATAGACAATTACTGACTTTTTCTTTCAAATCAAAGTAATTGAAGAATGTATTAACCTGATGATAAGTATTTTGAGAATAATGCAATATAGTTTAAGGGGAAATCTTAGTAGCCAAAATGTGCTTTCCTATTTCGATACTGAGTCATATGAAACTGTGCTGGTAAAACCAACCAACCAACCAGCAAAATTTGTCACAAGTAAAATCAATCATGAGTTGATATGATTCCTCAATTTATTTCATGTGACTGCATTCAGGTTGCCATAGAATTAATTTTGTATGAATTGTAATACAAATAACAACAGAAAGAAACTTGTGAGGGTTTTTTACTGTTAAAATGACCATTCAACTCACTAAATGTTATTAATAATCACTAAAATAAAATTGTTAAAAGAATATGAATGTAAATGACACCTTGTTTGTCTTTGGTATAATATTTATTACATAATAAGCAGTATTTGGTCAAGAAGGAACTCACATATTATAACTTAATAAAAGACAAGAATAAAGATCAACAAGGCAAAGGCAACGTTCATAGGGCACCCAGAAGGCACCAAACCAAAACCTGGAGTGGACATAAGGGCGGTGAAAAGAGAGGACATGTAATGTGTGGATTAATATAAACTAAAACGGGCCCATATGGGAATTAAAGGGATAAGGGCTGTAAGGGTGAAAGGGGAGTGGGTTATAAAATGGAAGGGGTGTGAGAAAATACCTACCGTAAACGACAATCCAACAAGGCAGACATCACAAAACATGTAAACAGTCAAAAACAAGTAACAACACAGACATGAAAAACACGTGAAGGAACACAGAGGGGTACCGCCTTCGAACGGTCAGTGGTTGATAAACCACTGGGGAGTTTAAACCGGTTTTAGGCGCGCAAAACCTCACTCTTAAAGTCATGCAAAAAGAATAAATTTAGAAATTTAGGCGTTTAGATTATATTTCACTCATGAACACAATCTCATTTACACAACATACAATTAAAAATATGAATCCATTTTATATGAAATCATAATGCAACAATATAATGTACTTGATAAATCAAATAAATTTTTCAGCATAATTCATGTATATTCACAATTAATTAAACTAGTATCATTACATATTGTACATGTATATACTTGTCACAATCAAGTTATTGAAGTGACTTTATTTTCTTTTTACATTTTATGTTTGAATATCAAATTTTACATATGAATCAGGATGATATTTAAATAATATTTTTATTGATAGTGGTTCATATATTTACTTAAAAGATTAGATATCATACACTTCAATGTTGTCATCTATATATCTACTTATACACATCTTTGACATTTGTTGATTACAACAGACTGACACTATTCCCCGCTTTCTACTTTCAGCTCCTATCAGATCACCATAACATGTAAACTGTAAAACATTATTGGAGCCACATCCAGATACCAGCACACTACCAGCTTCAGTAAGAGAACAGCATGAAGCCCCCTCTAATTGTTTATCATTAAATAATGTAACAACCTGACCATTGTTGTCCAGTACTGTTAGTCCATCAATGCAGTCAGCAACATAAATCCTTGTAGAATCCTTACTGACAGCTAGACCGCATATTTCAGAAAACAGCTCATGTCCTGATTGATACTTACTGAACTGTTAAAGCTTTCTACCAGACAATGTATACTTATATACTGATGTATCACAATCTGAAATATATAAATCATTGTTTGCATATACAATACAACAACATTCAAAATCAGTGTTAATCTTGTTTGTTGCTTTCATTTGTCTTTGAAGAGAAATGAAATAAACTTCTTTTTGTAATGGAACAGTTACTGCTACTTGTGTGTTATTGATCACACTTCATGGGATATGCAGGTAGATCGCAGTAGTCAGTGACAGTATATTTACAACTGTGTAACCGTTGAAGCTTCTTGTTCATGTAATCAACTAGAATTATTGAACCATCTTCCATACAACAGACACTGCTGGTATAACAATCATATTTACCAGACTTTACTTTTACATTATATGATTTATTTCCTTTAATCTGAAATAAATTAACAGAGGTCTTTGTAAGTTTCTCTGATAATGTACCCAGGGTGTTCCTGTGTTCTAACTGTGTAAGAATTGTTCTATCAGGTTGAAACATTATGTCTTCTACCGTACATTTCATTTTGGTATGCTCTACATAATTGTTGGCAACATTTGCAGCATATTCTGCCATCTTAACATAAACAAACACTTCAGCTGGATTTGCTTTTTTAGATGCTAATTTATCACTGGCTGATGTAATCCTAAACTTATTTGCTTGTAGCTGTTTGAGACCATCTTCTATCGTGTCTTCAAAACATTTTACTTTATCTTCTATCTCATCTATAGAACTTTTCTCTAGCTTGTCCAGATGGTCATTGATTTCTTGACGGAATTTTCTGATATCAGCCAGTAGTTCTGCTTTCCTCTTTAACAGCCTTTGTTTATCCTGTTTAAATCTATCAGCTTGTTCTGCAAGGGTGGTAGCTAACGCTTTCAACATTGTTTGAATTTCTCTTGAAGAAATTTGGTATGTGTTATTTTGGATAAGTTCTGGTATGTAGAATGTATCCTTGCATAATCTAAAAAATAAGTTAAGGCAGTTTATGAATATGAGGCTATGATATGTAATCCTCTGTAGCATATCAGTATTTAAGATATCATATTATTAAAACATTTAAGTACATATTAAACATTCTATATATAAAAGTGTCATTATGCCCATTAAAGGGTATATAAATTTCCATCGAAATTTACATGTAACATTCAATTTTTAAAGACAGTGGAGGGGGCAATCTTTTTATATTTCTGGCAGATTAATGTTTTATCCTGAACAATTTCCAATATCAACTGTTGGTCAATCACCATTATAACAGTCCATCATGTGAAATATATTATTGTCAATTCAGCTCAACTTGACAATGAAAAAATAAGCATAATGTAACTTTAATTGACAATATAATCTATGTTTGTATAATGTAAATTTTACCTATGATCAACTGCCATACATGTAGAACAGCCAACATTATCATGGATCTGACAGTACATATCAATGTGTTTATGACTGTGTTTGTCACATCTCTCTGCTAGGGCCCTCGGGTAACATTTGCTGGTTCCTGACTTTACTTGAGATTTATCCAGCACATTGTGACCAGCACACAGAGGCACTTGACTATGTACTTGAACACAAGTTATACAGAAATAATCCTTACAGTCTACACAGTATTTTTCACCTTCAGCGTTTCTTCCTTTATTTTTACACATTGAACATAACACGTCAAATATTTCATCTGAAAGAATATCCGTATCTATTTGTTTACCAGTAGCCATTTTGTAGAAATTTTGTTCAACGTGTTATCTGAACTGATCTATTCACCAATAAAGCTGTCCCAATTTCATTTCACAGTCATTTTAAACATAACACTTAATCACACTTCTTAAGTTTTCAAATTTCTCTTTTACTCCTGTACTGATATTTAACTTATTCCTTTTTTACTTTCTATAATTATCATCTCCAATTTTAGCTCTTAAGTTATTTGTAAAGATTCACCCTCTTGCCAATGACAAACTATATTTATCTTTTAAAACGTTGATCCAAAGTCCACATGTAATTTCTACATCGGTAAAGTTTTATCTTGGTTTAAGATTATGTTATCTATAAAACAATAAATTACTCCCGAAAGCAAATAAACTGAACAATTTTAAGAAAAAAGTATTTCCGTGAAGTCATATAACAAGAAAAGCAAACCGAAAATGATCTTTTTTTTTAAAAAAGAAAAAAGCTAATGGCAATATTTAAAATTCCCTAATTTTTGCTTTTTAAAGAGTTTGGGGAGGAAAAAATTCATAGTTGAACGTTTAGCCAAAACCCTTTAACTGGTTTTGTCTGCCTTTGTTTTAACCCTTTTAATTTTGACCCTTTTATTACACAAAATCTGCAGTGTAATGGTTAACCAGTATCAAACATCTTAAACAATGGTTGTAATACATAGTTAATCAAAGCACAGAAGGCGCTGAATTTGTTTGGGTCTCAAAATGAAAGAAAGGTACAAGTTGTGAGATTATATGTATAGTTCCACCAATGCTTTCCAGGGTTTTAATTGTAGTAAATTGGCTATAAGACTAATTGCAACACTGATATTCAATCCAATGTTTATCCTTGACTTAAACAATTTGAAAAAAATGAGTTGCCTTTACTGGTATTTGAACCCAGACCTCTCGCTTTCTAAGCGAGCGCGAAAACCCTTCAGCCACGGTGAATTTATATGTGAACGGCCTGAAGAAAACCATATTATCTCTAAATTAGGGTTTGTAACGACTTTAACTGTTGTTTAACACAGATGTAAATAATCCTGGAGCTTTACTGTAAGCATGTATATTATAAAGAATCAAAGGGCTACAAGTTCTGTGGTATTTTTCTGATATTTGCAATCTAAATCGTACTGTATATATGTATGTATTTTCCTGTATAAGTTTATTTTTATGTATTATAATTCATTTTGCAAGGCACCAGAGTTTGATACATACGGAATTCTGCATAACTAGAAGTTGCATCAAAATATCATTTCATGTTCATTTTTTAACGACAGCTACACTCTATCCTTGCATATCAATGGCTACTTCCTTAACAAAGACACTTAAAAATGAATTAAAAAAAAAAAGTTTCATCGACTGGGATTTTAACTCCAGACCTCTCACTCACTAAGCGAGCGCGTTACCACTGCACCACGGAGAAGTTATACAAACTGTAATTGAATAACATCAACTCATTCTAAATTTAGAACTTCGATTGCATTTCGGGTTTGTAATTCTTATTAATTTTGAGGTATTTTGTTCAGGATAAACCTGTTATTTAAAATTGAGGTAGTTAATTTAGCGAAAATCTTCTCGCCCAAACAGTCCGACATGTAGAATCTATATATTCCACTACTCGGTCTGTGTAGTATTCGGTAAGCAACATCGCTTAAAATAGTATTTTCATTGATAAAATCATATTCATTCGCGTAATTTGTGATTGTGCATTTATTGACAATTCTATAAGCCAACGCTATTTTTAAACTTTGAATGCGTTGTAATTTGTTGGATACTTGTAACAAAATAAGAATATTTCTTTCTTTTAAATCGCTAGTTTTAAGTTGTTTTGAGAACTACTTGTTGTTAGGTTCGTCGTAAACTTCTGTGTCAGAGATTGAATGTCCGCTTTGTCTTTACTTATTTTTGATCAGAAAATACAATAAAACAATATTAGAAATATTCGACCATTCGGGAATTATTTTGCTTGAAAATTAATGTGCCTCTCTTTGACCATCTTTACGCAGTGATCTCCCCTGAATTTTTCGGAGTAAGTGTACATATGAAGGGAAGTAACCGCTTCAAAAAAGTGGACTACTTTCGGCATTTGCAATTAACAGCATTAGACTCTGAAATTTCGCTACCATTATTTGTTTGGTCTGACGACCCAAACAAATAAAAATGATATACAAGAAATAAGACTTAATTATTTTAATGTTACAGGTAAGAATGAAAGAAGAGATTTATATAGAAACAAAAACTGTCAGATTTTTTCAGTAAGAATTCAGCTACACTGACTTAATAATTTTTTTGTATTTCATATTTCTGGTTGGTGAAGATGGGATTGATTTTGAAGTCACTCTTATACGGTTAAGGTAACATTGTACCTTTCCAGCTATACGGTTAAGAAAGTCTCAGTCCCAAGTAGGGGTTTGACACAATGGAAGAGAGATAACATTGTTGCTTTCCAGCTATACGGGTAAGGTAATATTGTAGCTTTTCAGCTATATGGTTAAGATAACATTATAGCTTACACGCTATACGGGTAGGATAACATTGTACTTTACAGCTATACGGTTAAAGTAACATTTTAGATTTCCAGCTGTACGGATGAGGTAAGATTGTAGCTTTCCAGCTATACGGATAAGATAACATTTTAACTTTCCAGCTATACTGTTAAGGTTACATTGTTGTTTTACAGCTATACTCGTAAAGTGACATTGTAACTTACAAGCTATACGGGTAGTTAACATTTAAGATTAACAGTTATACAGTTAAGATTTCACTGAAGCTTTACAGCTACACTATTCAAGTTAGATACGTTTAAAGATAACTTTATACGTTAACAGCTTAACAGTTATGGTTACATTATGGCTTTCCATCAATACGATACGGTTATGGTTACATTATTATGCATTATATATTATCCAGTTTAAAACGAGAACTACTTAGGAACGGACGTAATGCAAAATTCGTGTTTTAAAGCTCCCCTTTAATTTCGACCACTTAGTAGAACAAAACAGACTTCCCCCTTTCCCGGGTCTTCTTTCCCTTTCCCCTGTACCCTTGACTGTTTGGGCCTACTATTCAATCATTTTCATTGCATTCCGTATCAGTTACAAATTATTTCTTCTTATGTATCTTTTAAGTGATTAGCCTGTCTGTGCTCTGCCTTGTGTCCTGTCCGCTTTTTGTTTGGGATCCTCCTGGGCTCCTTGCCACTGGTTCTTGTTCGTGTGGGGGCTGCGTTCATTGAACGCCGCCTTTCCTTGTTGGCCTTGTTTATCATATTTTATCTAGGGAGCATTTTATTAGGCTTTTCTAATGATATGCAGTTTAGATACAGCTGACCATTCCTTCGCAGTCATTATATATGTTCATAAAAGCTTGTTGTCCTTTGAAATTTCTCAAGAATTATTAATATGTGTAAAACTCTCAGTAAATTAGAAGGTTTAGAACAATAAATAATTTTAGCCAACAGTAATAGGAAGTACCAGGGTTAAAAGTCAAGGTCACTTTCATATTCTCCACTCCAATATATATAACAGATAGATTTGAAACGTAAAAACTGCAAAATTTCCTTAAATCACTTGGGAAGGAAATATTTAAAGTTGAGCGATTTAAAAAAATATATCATTACATCGTTTAGTATTTAATTTTGATAAATCTGCAGTGTTATGGTTAATCTTGATGAGACAGTTCAATGGTTGTAATATTGAACTGTGAGACAGAATAAAATATGATATACAAGAAATTAAAAAGTAAATTTAATGTTACAGGTAAGAAAGAAAGACCAGATTGATATAGAAACAAGTTAAAACTGATTAAGATTTTGTTTAGTATGCATTAAGCTACACTACTTCAGATAATAAGTTTGCATTTCATAGTTCTGGGTGGTGGTGGATGAGAATGATTTTTAAGTCAATCTGGCTGTCTTTACGAACACAGAGGAGCAAAAAATGTTAAGGTTTTTACATGTGTGACTTTTTATGCCTCCCTTCAAAGACGAGGGTGTATATAAACTTTTGCATTTGTCTGTTGGTCGGTCGGTCTGTCAGTCTGTAGACCAAATTGTTTCCGAGTGATTACTAGAGAACGCTTAGGCCTATGAAATTCAAACTTGGTATGGTGATTGTTAATGACCAGCAGATGATCCTATTGATTTTAGGGTCAAGAGATCAAAGGTCAATGTCACATTGACCTTGTAGGTAAAAACAGCTTCCGAGGAATAACTTAGGCATGCTAAGGCCTAGGAACTTCAAACTTGGTATGGTGATTGTTCATCACAACCAGATGATCACTTTTGATTTTGGTGTCAAGATGTCAAAGGTCAATGTCATATTGACATTGTAGATAAAAACGGTTTCCAATAATTAACTATAGAAAGCTTAGACCTAGGAACTTAAGACTTAGTTCAGTGATTGTTCATGACCAGCAGATGTCCCCTATTGATTTTAGGGTCTAGGTGTCAAAGGTTAAGGTCACATTAACCTTGTTGGTAAGAACGTTTCTGGTCAATAACTAAAGAACGCTTAAGCCTAGCACCTTCAAACTTGATACGGTGATTATTCATGACCAGCAGATGATCCCTATTGACTTTGGGGTCAAAGTCATGGTCACATTGAACTTGTAGGTAAGAACGTTTCTGATCAATAACTAAAGAACGCTTAGGCTTAGGCACTTCAAACTTGGTATGGTGATTGTTCATGACAGACAGATGACCCATAGTGATTTTGTTGATCTTGGCCAGAAAATGGCCCCTACTGAATTTGGGGTCAGAAGGTCGCATTAACCTTGTATGTCAAAATTGTTTTCTATCAATAATTGGACAACACATGGACCCTTTACCTCCAAGATTAACAGATGAATTGCTTTTGGTCAGAAGATAACTTCAATGGATATTTGGGTTTAAGGGTTCAGAGGTCAAGATCATATTGACCTTACATGTGAAAACGCTGCTGTCTGAACAATATCCCAACAATACGTGGGTCCTTTACCTTCGAATTTTACAGTTGCATTGGTCTTGGTCAGTAGATGACCCCTATTGATTTTATGGTCAAAGGTCAAGGTCATATTGATCTTGTATGTAAAGAGGGTTTTTGACCAATTACTTAACACTTTAAATTGCCTTGGTTGATATTCTTATTGAACTTAAAATGCTGTTGGTATTGTCGTAACATGGGTTTTCGCGGTTCCGCCAAGCTTACAGGATTCTTTCAAATTATAGTTTAGGGCGTTATGTCTTTCTGTTAGGAGCCGAAACCACTGGCTTGTTTTATGGTTTGCCAGGAACCACCAAATTGCCTCACAAGTGGTTGCAGTGAAGACTTCACACATGCACAATTTTCACTATGTCTTATTCAAGTGTAAATATTTATAAGAAGTGTCAATTCAAAATAAGTACAATGTTAAATATGCCAGCCTTTAGTTTATATTTAAAATCTGCATACAACTCCACAGTTAAAACTAATACATGGTTGATTCCATACATAAAAAAAATGTAAAGTCCAATTCTTGTTAAAGCAGTTCCAAAAGTGGCCAAATTCAGTATAAAGTTCATAACCATCAGCAGTAGAATTAAGATCAACATTATCATTTATTCAAGTTGAAGTTCTCTAACATTGATGTTCAAAACAGTACATTAAATTCCAAACGATTGTTCGAAATCTGTCAGGTTGTAAATTTTCTAAGTGTTCAAATTAAATGTTTATATTTATTCAATTACCAAAGTAATTGTACAGCAAAATATCCACAGTTAATCTTGGTCTGTTCTCCTCTCTCCTGATAAGCCCTGTGCAGCCGTTTTTATAATGGTCTTGAGAAGAATTGTAACTGGCTAATTTGCACAGGCCAATTAAAATTAGTTTAACATATTAATACATAAAACAGCAAAATTGATTGACTGATAAGCCCTATTAGGAGTTTGCCCTATTTTAAATTGACAGTTGATTGACACCTAAGGCATTGTTTACATAACAATAAGGATCCACCCGTTTATTTCTAAACAAATGAATTTTAAATAACTTGTGTATCTTTAAATACATACATACAATAAAATAAAATATAAAGCATGGAATCATAATCTACATAAAATTCTTTTTCTTATGATATAAGTTTCATGATGGCAAAGTAAGTATAGTATTAAGTGTTTAAAATTCTGGTCTAAACATTAACCCTTGAAGGTTTTATCACATCAAATATTGCTGGTTGTTATATTATAACAAAATGCAATAATAATAAAATGCAAAATACATACAAAATCATGACTATTCTTAAGATTACTATAAAAAGAATAAATTATGTATGGATTAATAAGAATGAAAAATTCTGGAAACAAAGTGATCCCTCGGAAACATTAATCACAACAAAATAACATAAGAATTGCAGACTCGGTTTGATTGAGTCTGTACATAAAGGATAATGAATAAGTGCAACATCCCTCACGCCCCCTACACCGACTTGAGCGGTACTCAATTATCAACACTTTACAGTGTTGGCATCAATGATCCCGAAGAACCAGAAAAAACAACAACACTGAAGTGAAGTACGGGGCAACTTTTTACGGCTGCCACACGGCACTTGACACCTGCTGTTGTGAAGTACAAAATTCTGGAAACAAAGTGATCCCTCGGAAGCATTTATCACAACAAAATAACATAAGAATTGCAGACTCGGTTTGATTGAGTCTGTACATGAGGGATAATGAATAAGTGCAACATCCCTCACGCCCCCTAGCACCGGCTCGAGCGGTACTTAATTTTCAACACTTTATAGTGTTGGCATCAATGATCCCGAAGGACCAGAACTTATTCTAACATGTAACTATTGTTAATCTAGGAGACAACATATATTGGAGAAATGTATGCATCACAAATGAATATGCACAATGTGGTAATAATCCTTAAATGGATCAGTAGTAATTAATACTTAACAAACAGATAAAACTTTAACTCAGTAGCTAAACACATTGGCTGGACATAGCCCCAGGCATGTGATGTTTCTTTATGACCCTTGTATATTGATAGTGTGCATAATTGACACATGATAAGTGGCTTTTATAAAAACATCAAATTAAATCAAAGGTATTAAAAAATGGTACTACTTTAATTATCCAAAATTGTCACAAATGTATGAAATAATTGTTGTTGTTGTTGTTGTTGTTGTATCAAAGAAATAATCACTATAAACAAAATTTCACTGATATCAGGTTTACAACAATATACACATTTCAAGTTCTTATGTAATATAACAACTTGACTGTCATAAATGAGGCCTACATGATTCATAAAATGTTTGCCTATGTTATTTAGTAAGATTTGTGATGACTTTATCATAAAAGTGCTGCACACAACCTTTGCGGTTAAAATTACCCAGTGACTAGTCATGACCAGTTGATAACCCTTATTGATTTTTTGGTCACTAGGTCAAAAGTCAGTCATAAAACCTGATCACATGACTGATTGCCTGCCGATAGGGGACATACATGTTTTACAAACATATCTTGTTTAAGGCCTTATGGGATTAAAATGACTTGAAAGATCAAATGAAAAGTCACATATGTACAATTTCATTTGTACGCCCTTCCGTCTAGCTGTCCGTCCGTCCACCTGTCTTGTCCGGGACGTAACTTTGAAACTACAAGAGGTATCAAAGTAGATAGATCGGATTGAGTTAAAGTGCAGTGCAAAGGAACATACAGACTCAATCATACCGAGTCTGAAATTTCATGAAATTTTGTTTTTTTATTGTACCAAGGGATCACTTTTTTCCGGATATTCATACATCACAACAGCAGGAGGCAAATGCTTTGTGGCAGCCGTAAAAAGTTGCCCCGTACTTCACTTCAAAGGTGTTATATTTTTCTGGTCCTTTGGGATCATTGAGTCCAGCACTTTATCTGTTGAGAATTGAGTACCACTCAAGCCGGTGCTAGGGGCCGTGAGGGATGATGCACTTTTTCATTATCCCTCATGACTCAATCAAACCAAGTTTACAATTTTCAAGAAATTTTGCGTTTTTAATGGGATTACTTATATCCAGATATTGATATAACTTCTCAGTTTGTTTCGTGTATTTCAGGGTACCATACAATGAATTTTTTATTAATTTTATACAGTAAACAACAGAAAGGAACTAGCGAGCACTTTTCTCGCTATATGTTATTAATAATCACTAAAATTGCAAAAATTTAAATGTACATGAATGTATTTAAATGACATCTGTCAAGAAAGAAAGCACATATTCTAACTTAATTAAGTCATACAAGAAGAATTAATTTAGATTAGGTAGAAAATTTAGGCGTTTAAATGCTACATTTATTTCACCCATGATCACACTTCCATTTACACATCATACAATTAAAAATGTAAATCAATTTTATATGAAATTATTATACAACAACATAATGTATATGATAATTTTTTCACAACATAATGTATCATGTATATTCAGAATGAATTGAATAAGTATCATCACATATTGTACATGTATATACTAATCACAATCAAGTTATTAAGTGACTGTTTTTCTTTTTACATTTTATATTTGGAATATCAAATTTTACATATGAATCAGGATGGTTTTTAAATAATACTTTATTGATAGTGGCTCATATATTTACATTAAAGATTAGATATCATAAACTTCAATGTTGTCATCCATCCATCTACTTATACATATCTTAGGCATTTGTTGAATACAAAAGACTGACTCAATTCTCTTTTTCCTACTATCAGCTTTTAAAACCTCTTCTAACAGCTCACCATCAGGTGAAAACTCTAAAACATTATAGGAGCCAAATCCAGATACCAGGACACCACTTTCTTCAGTGAGATAACAACATGTAGCCCCTTTTAATTGTTCATCATTAAATGAGGTAATAACTTGACCATTGTTGTTCAGTACTATCAGCCCGTTATTATAGTCAGCAACATAAATCCTTGCAGCATACTTATTGACAGCTATACTGCGTATGTCAGAGAACAGCTTATGACCTGATTGATTCTGACTGAACTGATTTAATTTGCTACCATAAAATGTATACATATATACTGATGTGTATTCATCTGAAATAAATAAAGTATTGTTTGCATACGCAAGACCAAAACATCTAAAATCAGTGTTAATCTTGTTTGCTGTTTCCATTTTTCTTTCTAGAGAAATGAAATTAACTTCCTTTAGTGATGGAATAGTTACTGCCACTTGTTTGTTATTGATTAGACACACTTGATGTGGTCCTCCAGGTAGATCATAGTAGTTAGTGACAGTATAGTTATAACTGTGTAACCGTTTAAGTTTGTTGTTGCTGTGGTCAGCCAGAATTATTGTACCATCTTCCATACAGCAGGCACTGGTGATATCACAAACGTTTTCATCGGACCTAACTTTGACATTATATGATTTATTACCTTTCTCTGTAAGTGTGCCCAGGTTGTTCTTGTGTTTCAACTTTTTAAGAATTGATCTATCAGGTTGAAATTCTATGTCTTCTACTGTACTTTTCATTTTGACATGCTCGGTATACTGGTTTGCAACATTCGCAGTTTCTTCTCCCATCTTTACATAAACAAACTCATCAGCTTGATTTGTGTTTGTAGATGCGAATTTATCTTTAGCTGATGTAACCATGGACTTCTTTGTTTGTAGCTGTTTTAGACCATCTTCAATCTTGTCTTCAAGATATTTGACTTTATCTTCTATCTCATTGATAGAACTTTTCTCCAGCTTGTCAATATGATCATTGATTTCTTGTCGGAATTTTCTGATATCAGCCAGTATTTCTGCTTTCCTCATTAACAGCCTTTGTTTATCCTGTTGAAATCTATAAGCTTGTTTTTCTAAGGTGGTATCTAAGGCTTTCAGTTTTGTTTGAATTTCTCTGGATGCAACTTTGTAAGTGTTATTTTGGATAAATTCTGGTATGTAGAATATATTCTTACATAATCTGAAAAATAAGTTCAGACAGTTTATGTGTATGAAACTATGAGATGACTGAAGTGATAATATTTTATTCTCTGTAACACATTAATATTTAAGAAAGAATATTATGTTAAGACATCTAAGAACCTATTATTTAACATTCCATATATTAAAATGACATTATGCCCATATAACTGCTAAATTCCATCGAAATTTACATTGAACATCCAATTTATAAAGAAAGAGGGACAGTCTTTTTATTTGTTTTGCAGCTTAATGTTTTATCCTGAACAATTTTTATATTCAACTGCTGGTCAATATTATTATAACAGTCTATCATGTTAAATGTTTTGACAATTCAGATCAAGTTGACAACAAAAAATGAGCATTATGTCACTTAAATTGAAAAAGAGATATACATGTGTATCCTAATATAGAAAATTTTATCTATAGTAAATTTTACCTGTGATCAACTGCCATACATGTTAAACAGCCAACATTATCATGGAACTGACAGTACATATCAATGTGTTTATGACTGTGTCTGTCACATCTCTCTGTTGGTGCCCTCGGCAGACTTTTCCTGCTTCGTGACTTAACTTGAGATTTATCCAACACCTTGTGACCAGCACATAAAGGCACTTTACTGTGAACTTTGACACAACTAACACAGAAATAATCTTTACAATCTTCACAGTATTTATCACCTTCAGCGTTTTTGCCCTGATTTTTACACATTGAACATGAAACATCCAATATTTCATCTGAAAGAATATCCGTATTAATTTGTCCACCAGTCGCCATTTTGTTAATTGTCTTGTTTAAACCTGCTTAAATCGGTAAAAGTTGTCTCAGTTTCTTTTCACTGTTATTTTAAACATAGTGATTTAAAGTGAAATTACGATCCTCAAATCTAAAAAAAGATTTCTTCAATTCCTGTTATATTAACATCTTCCTAACATTTTCAAGTTTGTGACAAAAGTCCCTTTTTTTGATAAACTTCAATCCATTTATGGTTGCTATAAATCAAGAATGGCACTGTCATACCTTTATGCACAAAGTGTAACTTTTTCTCATAATCTATTTAACTAATGGGCACAAAGAATTTATAAACATGTAGTATTGGTTTACCATAATAGAAGTGTAACTCGGAAGAAAATAGCATGAATGATTTTAAGAAAAATAGTTTTGCCATGAAATTATCAGATAATAAATTTTAGATTTTATAAATGATTGTATCTTGTAGAATATAAGAAATAATTTAAGCCAAGCATATGGCATTCTTAAGAAGCAATTTCTTCTAATTGATTCACACGAGTTGGACATGTTCAAAGATGAGTCGGTGTGATATAGAAAAACTGTATTGTTAAAAGCTGCTCTTTTTATAGTAACAATATCGTTTTGGACAAAATAATCAATGCAAGGAAAACTCCATTGCATAAAATCAGTAGGATAAAGGGGAGCGTTTGCCTAGTGGTGTTTACCTTTCAACCTAGTGATCACAGGTTCGAGCCCTTCTTTTCGCGACCATGTACCTTCATATGACACCAGTACTGGTTGGTTCCAGGAAGCAGACTTGAAAGTGATTATATAAGTTGCAAGAACTCGTTTCGCAATCGAGGTTAAATAAATATGTTTAAACTAAAGTTCAACCTGCATACAAAAAAAAACTTGTGAACTATCCTAATTGTTACAATATTATGCTGTCAGGTAAAGTCAATGATATTTGAAGTAAATGGTAAACAGTTTCTTCTTAATATAAACATAATGTGAAATAAAATTACAAAATTTATAACTAAGTGTGATATGAAAATCTGGAAACAAAGTTATCCCTCGGAAGTATTAATCACAACAAAAATATAATAAATTTAAATAAACGAGAAAAAAATAAAATACCTGTAAATAATAAATAGACAATTCTTGATCTCTGGTAGATATATTCTTTTTCAGTCAATTTACTATTTGACTGTCAGTGTACTGTCCAAGCTTACATGCAAGCATCTGGTATCTCATGTAATTGTCAATTACCTTGATGAGCAGTCTTTTTTTTCTAATTTGAAATTTTTCATTTGCTTAATGTCACTTTAACCTGATGTTCTTAATTTGTATTTACAAGGTATTTTTAAAAAATCAGAATACTGGTTTTAGGCAACCATTACTTAAAAAATATTTGTTACACAATGAATTTGTGGAAAATTACTGACTTGTCTTTCAAATCAAAGTAATTAAAGAATGTATGAACCTGATAATAAGTATTTTGAGAATAATGCAATATAATTTAAGGGGAAATCTTATTAGCCAAAATTTGCTTTCCTATTTCGATACTGAGTCATATGAAACTGTGTTGGTATGAACGCTGTAAAACCAACCAACCAACCATACCAACAAAATTTGTCACAAGTAAAATCAATCATGACTTGATATAAATTCCTCAATTTATTTCATGTGACTGCATTCAGGTTGTCGTAGAATTAATTTTGTATGAATTGTAATACAATTAACAACAGAAAGAAACGTATGAGCGCTTTTTTTGTTAAAATGACCATTCGACTCACTAAAATATTATTAATAATCACTAAAATAGAAAAGAATATGAATGTATGTAAATGACACCGTTTGTCGTTGGTATAATATTTATTACATAATAAGCAGTATTTGGTCAAGAAGGAAATCACATCTTTTAACTTAATAAAGTCATGGAAAAGAATAAATTTAGAAATGTATGCGTTTGAATTCTATTTCACTCATGAACACAATCTCATTTACACAACATACAAGTAAAAATATGAATCCATTTTATATACAATCATAATGCAACAATATAATGTAATTGATAAATTTAAATAAATTTTCACAGCATAATTTATGTATATTCACAATTAATTCAACTAGTATCATTACATGCTACAATGTATATACTTGTCACAATCAAGTTATTTAAGTGACTGTGTTTTTCTTTTACATTTTATGTTTGAATATCAAATTTTACATATGAATCAGGATATTCTTTAAATAATTCTTTTATTGATAGTGGTTTATATATTTACTTAAAAGATTAGATATCATACACTTCAATGTTGTCATCTGCCGATCTGCTTATATACATCTTAGTCATTTGTTGATTACAACAGACTGACAGTATTCCTCCTTTTCTACTACTAGTATCAGCTTTTATGTTTGCACCTGGCAAGACTCAGCAGTTTATTTATGTCAAGATAAAATAGAACAAATACCAAATTGGATGAAAATGTCCAGGCCCAGAGGGCACTGGACTGTTTATTTAAAAAACAAGAAAGAAAGGCATATAAAGCTTATATAAGTAAAAAACATGACATAAAGTTGGACAGCAATTCGTCCTGTACATATAAAAGTAACATGTATTAAAACAAACAATATTAAAACTAGGCAAGGAGTTGTGGTGGGGTGGTGGCGGTAGAGTGAAAAAAATTTCAGATAAAAATTTTGCGTGCGACACCTAGTGGTGAAAAATTTTCTATGATCCGAAAGATAGAATTACACCGAAAAGTGTTTAAACACCAGAAATGCCTTAAATGTGCTAAGATGTAAAATAAGATGAAACTGTACAAACATAAATCACTTTATACTGTTCCACTATATAAAGTATAATTTTATGTTTGCACCTGGCAAGACTCAGCAGTTTATTTATGTCAAGATAAAGTAGAACAAATACCAAATTGGATGAAAATGTCCAGGCCCAGAGGGCACTGGACTGTTTATTTAAAAAACAAGAAAGAAAGGCATATAAAGCTTATATAAGTAAAACACATGACATAAAGTTGGACAGGGAGCAAACCATGTTCAAATGGTCAACCATACAACGAATATCCTGGGTATAAACTGGTGGATGTGTCGGTATAAAAAATTAACAATGCCAACTCAGGGCACTAAATGTTGTTAACAGGGACCTTATTAGGATAATGGTCCAAAACTAAACAGAATAGATGAGAATTGTATGGCAACACAATTCATAAATAATGCAACAATGAAAGGCAAATTGAATTATCACTTACTTATCTATGGCAAATCTTTTAATGTTAGTTATACCAAATCAAATCTTTGCATGAAATAAATGTCCCACACAACTATCACTCATTCACTGTTTTGTCAAATTGAGTGTATATAATCTGAAACACAATGTATGAAAAGAACATGTAAAAGAAATACATATACAAATATATATAAATATATACACATGTGAAGACAGGAAACTTATTGTGATAAACATTTTTCAGCCAATAAAATGGAGCCTCTAACTGAAGCATAGTAACGAGGCATGCCCTTTTGGTTGTCAACATGGACACCATCATTTGCAACATAATCCCTAATAAAACGACGGTTGAAGTTGTTCCGTTTGTGAGTCCAAAATATTAGGGAAGGCTTGTCTTCACAATATGATTTCAATAACTGATTTGTTGTGTCAGCCTTGGCATTATATACATGGTCACCAGCTCTATGTAAAATTTCATAGATGACAACAACTTGACTACCACGACTAAATATATTTGAACATAAACTGATAATGCTATCCACCAACTGATTTGGCTGCAAATTTGGAATGCATAAATCATTACTTCCAATATCTACAACTGTGCAGTTTATCTCCAATTCATCTACCAAATAAACATCGCACCAAATTGATTTCGCTTTAGACTTTGACGCGACATAAGCTCCGCCCACTCCATGCCAATAAACTTGCACGCGGTCCGAATCTAAATTCAAATTCAACAAACATTTCGTACCACACCATCTCTGGAGGCGCTTTGTAAAAGAGTGGCCCAGTAACAAAACATTCATAACTATTCTCAAACAAAGAGATTAATGAAAAGGAACGATACAAATTATGTAACAAACCCACGCTATCCACGCTGTCCTAAGTAGGTCACTCACGCTCGTCGTTGATGCTGTGACAGTGTCGCCGAGAAAACTAACTGCTTTTTAACCAGAAGCTATTTGCGACTACGTGGTAGATTAAATAAGCTTCCCCAAATAAATAATTATTGAGAATAACTGTTGACGAGCAATAAATAAAATATAAAATAGAGTGAAACAATTTTCAGATAACAATTTTGCGTGCGACACCTAGTGGTGAAAAATTTTCTATGATCCGAAAGATAGAATTACACCGAAAAGTGTTTAAACACCAGAAATGCCTTAAATGTGCTAAGATGTAAAATAAGATGAAACTGTACAAACATAAATCACTTTATACTGTTCCACTATATAAAGTATAATTTTATAACTTCTCCTATCAGCTCACCATCACATGTAAACTGTAAAACATTAATGGAGCCATATCCAGATACCAGAACACTACCTGCTTCAGTAAGATAACAACATGTAGCCTCCTCTAATTGTATATCATTAAATGATGAAATAACCTGAGCATTGTTGTCCAGAACTATCAGTCCATTATTATAGTCAACAACATAAATCCTTGTAGCATCCTTACTGACAGCTAGACTGTGTATGCTAGAGAACAGCGTATGTCCTGATTGATCCTTATTGAACTGTCTAAGCTTCCTACCAGACAATGTATACAAATATACTGATGTGTCATGGTCTGAAATATATAAATTATTGTTTGCATATGCAAGACCAAAACATTCAAAATCAATGTTAATCTTGTTTGTTGTTTTCATTTTTCTTCCTAGAGCAATGATATAAACTTCCATTTGTTATGGAACAATTACTGCTACTTGTGTGTTATTGATCATACACACTTGCCATGGGTCTCCAGGTAGATCACAATAGTCAGTGACAGTATAGTTATAACTGTGTAACCGTTTAAGCTTGCTGTTGTTGTGATCAGTTATAATTATTGAACCATCATCCATACAGCAGACACTCCTGATATAACAACTGCTTTTATCAGACATAACTTTTACATTATATGATTTATTTCCTTTAATCTGAAATAAAGAGACAGTAGTCTCTGTAAGTTTCTCTGACAATATGCCTAGAGTCTTCTTTTGTTCTAGTTGTGTAAGAATTGTTCTATCAGGTTTAAAATCTAAGTCTTCAACAGTACTTTTAAATTTTGCATCTTCGATATATGTGTTAGCAACATTTGCAGCATCCTCTGCCACTTTAACATAAACAAACACTTCAGATTGGTGTGTGTTTGTAGATGCTAATTTATCATTAGCTGATGAAATCCTGGACTTGTTTGCTTGTAGTTGTTTGAGACCTTCTTCAATCTTGTCTTCAAGACATTTGACTTTATCTTCTATCTCATCTATAGAACTTTTCTCCAACTTGTCCAAATGGTCATTGATTTCTTGACGGAATTTTCTGATTTCAGCCAATAGTTCTGCTTTCCTCTTTAACAGCCTTTGCTTATCCTGTTTAAATCTATCAGCTTTTTCTGCAAGGGTGGTAGCTAATTCTTTCAACTGTGTTTGAATTTCTCTTGAAGAAATTTGGTATGTGTTATTTTGGATAAATTCTGGTATGTAGAATGTATCCTTGCATAATCTGAAAAATGAGTTAAAGCAGTTTATGAATATGACGCTATGATATGTCTGTAGAGATAATATGTAATCATCTGTAGCATACCAGTATTTAAGATGTAATATTATGTTAAGACTTTTAAGTGCATATCAAACATTCTATATATTAAAGTGACATTATGCCCATCAAACGGTATATAAATATCCATCGAAATTTACATGTAACATTCATTTTATACAGAGAGTGAGGTAGTCTTTAATATTTCTGCCAGATAAATGTTTTATCCTGAACAATTTCCAATAACAACTGTTGGTCAATCACCATTATAAAAGTCCATTATGTGAAATATATTATAGTCAATTCAGCTGAACTTGACAATGAAAAAATTAGCATAATGTAACTTTAATTGATACTATAATCTTTGTCTATATAATGTAAATTTTACCTATGATCAACCGCCATACATGTAGAACAGCCAACATTATCATGGTTCTGACAGTACATATCAATGTGTTTATGACTGTGTCTGTCACATCTCTCTGTTGGTGCCCTCGGCAGACTTTTGCTGGTTCCAGACTTAACTTGAGATTTATCCAGCACCTTGTGACCAGCACACAGAGGCACTTGACCATGAATTTGAACACAAGTTATACAAAAATAATCCTTACAGTCTACACAGTATTTTTCACCTTCAGTGTTTTTTCCTTTATTTTCACACATTGAACATAATACATCAAATATTTCATCGAAAAGAATATCCGTATCTATTTGTTTACCAGTCGCCATTTTGTAGTAATTTTGTTCAACGTGTTATTTGATCTGATCTATTCACCAATAAAGTTGTCCCAATTTCCTTCCACAGTCATTTTAAACATAATACTTTACAGCAACACTTAATCACAGTTCTTAAGTTTTCAAAGTTCATTTTTACTCCTGTACTGATATTTAACTTATTCCTTTTTTACTGTCTATGTATAATTATCATCTCCAATTTTAGCTTTTAAGTTATTTGTAAAGATTCACCTTGTTGCCAATGACAAAATATATTTATCTTTTAAAACGTTGATCCAAAGTCCACATGTAACTTCTACATCGGTAAAGTTTTATCTTGGTTTAAGATTATGTTATCTATAAAGTAATAAATTACTCCCGAAAGTAAATAACTTGAACAATTTTAAGAAAAAAGTATTTCCGTGAAAAAAGTCATATAACAAGAAATGAAAACCGATAATGATGTTTTTATGTAAAAATAGACCAAGCTAATGGCATATTTTTAATTCATAATTTTTGCTTTTAATCACTTGGGTAGGAAATATTCAGAGTTGAGCGATTTAGCCAAACCTTTACACTGTTATGTCTGCTTAGTTTTACTTTAATTTTGACATTTCTATTACACAAAATCTGCAGTGTAATGGTTAACCAGTATCAAACATCTTGGACAATGGTTGTAATACATAGTTAAAAATGATATACAAGAAATAAGACTTAATTATTTTAATGTTACAGGTATGAATTTTATATAGAAACAAATACTGTCAGATATTTTCAGTAAAAATTCAACTACACTGACTTAGATAATTATTTTGTATTTCATATTTCTGGTTGGTGAAGATGGGATTGATTTTGAAGTCACCCTTATACGTTAAGGTAACATTGTAGCTTTACAGCTATACAGTTAAGAAAGTCTCAGTCCCAAGCAGGAGTTTGACACACAGACACTTGGGGTTTGGATATAATAATACATTATTATAGATGTTGAAATATGTTTTATTTTTAAAACGGTTTATATTAAGTTTTTTTTATATATATATGATCAGTACATGTGCTGGGATTGACAAATATGCATTTTACTTGGATTTTAAAGGCGTTTTGAGCTCCAAACCCTAAGTGTCTGTGGTTTGACACAATGGAAGATAGATAACATTGTTGCTTTCCAGCTATACGGGTAAGGTAACATTGTAGCTTTTCAGCTATATGGTTAAGATAACATTATAGCTTCCACGCTATACGGTTAATATAACATTATAGCTTTCACACTATACGAGTAAGATAACATTGCACTTTACAGCTAAACGGGTTAAGTAACATTGCAGATATCCAGCTGTACGGATGAGGTAAGATTGTAGCTTTCCAGCTATACGAGCTTTACGTTTAAGGTTACAATTTAATTTTCCAGCTTTACGGTTAAGGTTACATTGTACCTTTACAGCCATACTCGTAAAGTGACATTGTAACTTCCCAGCTATACGGGTAGTTAACATTTAAGGTTGACAGATATACCGTTACGGTTATACTGAAACTTTACAGCTATACGGTTAAAGTTAGATACGTTTTAAGATAACTTTATACGTGAACAGCTTAACAGTTATGGTTACATACTAGCTTTCCAGCAATAAGGTTACGTTACATTATTATGCATTATATCTTATCCAGTTTAAAACGAGTACTACTTAGAAATGGACGTTATGCGAATTTCGTGTTGTAAAGCTCCGCTCTAATTTCAACAACTTAGTAGATCAAAACAGACACACCCCTTCCCCGGGTCTTCTGTCCCCTTCCCCTGTACCCTTTGACTTTGTGGGCATATTACTAGTATTCAATCATTTTCTTTGAATTCCTTATCAGTTACACATTATTTCTTCTTATGGATCGTTTAAGTGATTAGCCTGTCCGTGCTCTGCCTTATACCCTGTCCTGTTTTTGTTTGGGATCCTCCTTGGCTCCGTGCCACTGGTTTTTGTTGTTGGGTCGTGTGAGGGTTGCGTTCATTGAACGCCGCTTTCCTTGTTGGTCTTGTTTATCATATTTCATCTAGGTAGCATTTTATTCGGCTCTCCTTTGATATTTCTCAAGAATTTTTAATATGTGTAAAATCCTCAGTAAATTAGAAAGTTTAGAGCAATAAATAATTTAAGCAAACAGTAATAGGAAGTACCGTGGTTAAAAAGTCAAGGTCACTTTCAAATTCTTCACTCACATATAAATAACAGATATATTTTAAACGTAAGAACTGCAAAATTTCCTTAATTCACTTGGGAAGGAAATATTCAAAGTTGAGCGATATAGAAAAATCTTTACACCGTTTAGTCTTTGATTTTGACAAATCTGCAGTGTAATGGTTAATCTGGATGAGACAGTTCAATGGTTGTAATATTGAATTGTGAGACAGAATAAAATATGATATACAAGAAATTAAAAAGTGATTTTAATGTTACAGGTAAGAAAGAAAGACCAGATTGATACAGAAACAAAGTTAAAAACTGATTAAGAATTTTTAGTAAGCATTCAGCTACACTACTTCAGATAATAATTTTGCATTTCATATTTCCGGGTGATGGTGGATGAGATTGATTTTAAGTCACTCTTAAACGGTTAAGGTAACATTGTAGCTTTACAGTTATACGGTTCAGGTAACATTTTAGCTTTTAATGTAACATTGTAACTATTCAGCTATACCTATAAGGTAACATTGTAACTTTCCAGCTATACGGTTAAAGTAAAATTGTAGCTTTCCAGCTACACGGGTAAGGTAACATTGTTACTAAGCTTACCAGCTATACGATTAAAGTAACATTGTAGCTTTCCAGCTATACGGGTAAGGTAGCATGGTAGCTTTCCAGTTGGGTAAGGTTACATGGTAGTTTTCAAGCAATACTGTTATGGTTACATTGAAATCGTCTAGTTTTACAGTTAGATGTGTACTCTGACACCCCTTATGTATTATTTCTTAAGCCGTAAAATCTAGTACTACTGATGCGGAGGCTACAAATGCAATTTTCGTGTTATAAAGCTTCCCCTTTAATTTCAACAAATGAGCAGATCTAAACAGATATTCATCTTGGTAGCATTTTGTTTGGCTTTTTTAAAGGTATACAGCTGACCATCCTTCGCAGCCATTATATATGTGCGTAAAATCTCACTCGTTTTTCATTGGTATTTCGCAAGAATTATTAATATGTTCAAAACCCTCAGTTTATTGTAAGGTTTAGAGCAATAAAGACTTTAAACAAATAGGAAGTACAAAGGGTCAAAAGTCAATGTCACTTTCATACACTATTTCCCCTCCCATATGAATCAAAGATAAATTTGAAACGTTACAAACTCCAAAATATACTTTTGACCAGGATAAAGCAGTTCAGAGTTCAACAACTGAATAAATTATCTTTGGATGTTATTAGAGTTATTATAAAATAATGGTCTAGAAAAGACAATGCATGCTGCAAATTTGAAAATTAATTCCTTGAAATTAAGTAGATGTGCTTAGCATAGTTTATCCAAAAACTACCAAACCAGATTTGTAACAGGAATTTTTATCAAAAATTCATGTATTTATGTAACGTATTTTTGTAATATATATCAATATAACATTTACTGTTGTGTTAATATTATTGGGGATTTATAGTTTATTTTATTTTCAATTTTGAAATTGAATACAAACTCTGATACTGATGCTGAAACATTTATCTTATGCAAAAATGATGCTATGAAAAATCTTGCTGTAAGAAGCATAGGTTGAACTAACCAGCTGTTGTGGGCATGTATTTTCTTGATGGTTAATTTACCCAATGAGTAAATTGTTAGAATATAGGGTAAACAATTTCCCCCATTTTTAACTCTCCATGTAGCATCTTTAATTTATTACAGTCATCACAGCTGAAGGTGAACATTTGGTACTTTATAACCCATGCTGCTTGCATCACTGAAGGAAAAAACCTCATTACAGTTACACTGATATAAGATTTACTCCTGAAAAATTGAGTGTTAATTCCAAATATGAAAAAAGGAAGGTGTATTTCTTTTAATTTCAACATAAGTTGGGTGTTTATTTTGATGCATTTTTACAAAAAAGAAATATTTTTCAGTATTAATTATCACTTAATATTTAATTTAACAGGTAGGTTTGTAAAAAAAGTTAATGTTCAAAATAATTTTGAAATTTCGTTAACATTATTTCAATGTCTTGCATGAATACAAGACTTGATTATTTTACTTGAGTGGGATTGCACATCCTTGCAATTAAACTATTGGTTGCCTTGGGCATGCTGGCAACAACAGAGCTCTTTCATGTATTTTTTTACATTATCAGCCAACACATCAGGTCTGCACTGTTAAATATTAAGTCAGTATACACATGTATACAAAAGTACTTTAAAAATTTCACCTAAAATGATGATTGGTTTTGTCCAAATTGAAATATTGACAAGTTCATTTAATTTATTGATCGGGTTAATGGTAAATTTATCAACAAACAGTTTTAAATTCAGGGACAGATTTCACATTCTGAGCAGAACAAGCTAGCAGAGTATGGGATATTGTGAGGTGTCCTTAGTTTGATCATGTCCTATAGGAGTCAACAAAATTTCTACACAAGCCACAAAGTCTCATAAGATGTCAGTTAATGAGAAAACAATAAATTATTGGATATTATAAACATCAAAAAAAAAATTCAACACTGACATTTGTATTATTATGAGTTATAGTTTGTAGGGAATCATGACCATGCATGGATAAATTACTATACTTTTACCCTGCTAAAACCATAAGTAATCAGCCTTTGCAATAAGTTTGAAGCCAGGCTGGCATGCACGTCCATGCCATCTATATTGTTGGTGGACTTAGACATTATACCGGTACTTGATATAATTATGATAAAATACTGGGAATATTTAATTTCAAAATATTTTGTTTGTTTTAACTCTTTAAGTGCGAAGAGAATTGTGACACATGACAAATTACTTTCATCATATCATAAAATGATCATTCAATTGTATTAACTGCACTTTGAGTGCAATATTCTCCAAATTTGAAGAGCTTTAATTGTGTGTAATTGTTATATTACCATTATATATATGCTGTAAATTCCATCTCTATTTTAGTCAAATTATAGTATATTTATTGCCAATTTATTGTAGCTATATTGCCAGTTTATTGTCAGATTATCTAACCATTCTCATGGAGTTAAGTTAACATTGTAAGATTATTTTAGTGTTTGAGGTATTTGACTTTTTGTGAATAATAGTGAACCTCCCTTTTTTAAGAAAATTTAGGATTTGGAAATTTTTTTCCATGGATATATCTTTTGTTTTTTGTTGTTTTTTTTATAATCTTTACGCTTATTTGCTTGTTCTGTTTTTAATTTGAAAAAAGAGAGATTATATTCGCTTTTTTAGGTGTTAAAACAATAAAATTAAGCAGAATAGAGTCTGGTCAGAAGAATGCATAGGTAATTACTGGCAGGACAGGCTCTTTACCGGAAACGTCGTATTTTAAGACTGCATTATTAAAGGTTAAAATCATTTGATGATTTTAGGTTTCATTTTAAGCTGTCTCTTGATGGAAGGAAGAAAAAAAATCTTATTTCAGTTTTATAAAGTAAGATGTTCTTTTGTTTTATAAGGAAATTAATTTACACTTGTGTATGTCACCAGGGTCAACTATATTTCTGTGAAATATTAACCTTGAAGAAGCAATCACTCTTTCAAGTGTTTCCGTTGTTCAATTGTCTTAATAAGTGTATTTAAGAAATATTTTCAGTTTGTTCAAAGTGTAATTATAGATGGTAACTATGATGAAATAACAATATATTTACACATATAGTAGTGTATTATCATGTTAATTTCGTAGGCTTTAAAGCTGCATGCCTCTAGATTTTTATTCTGCAAAATTCCTAAAAATGAAATGTGTTCTAAAATCGGGCTAAGATTCTCACTAAATATCAACTTTCAATTGAATTCTGAGTTTATTTTTATTAGTATTATGAATTCCAATGGACTGTTCCAATACAAAACAGGGCAAATCCATTACGCAAATTCAGCAGGTTAAGGGGTGGTTAACATTTCAGAACTTTTCATTTAATTGAAGAAGCATAAAGTATTTTTATACCTATCTCTTTGCGAATATATATTGAAAATTTGTTTTCACCAAAAAAACAGCAGACATAATATTTCAGGCAACATTTTTCAGAAACTACTATGTATCTTTGTTTACCCAGATTTACCATTTTGATGACACTCAATCACTGACTCCATTAAAACTCTTCATAAATATCTATGATATTTTAAGGTACCATTTCCTTTGTTATAACATTGGTATGCTCTGATGTAAATTTCTGGATACACTCCATTGGCAGCCATCTACCATATGTGAACCTGATGGACTCACCTGGTGTAATGAAAAAAAATAGAGAAATCGTGAAAAAAAGTTGAGAGTGGCGAAATAGTGAGGAGACTTATGAGAATGTCTGAAATAATTTATTATGCTTTAAGCATTCTATTGTGATGAATGGGTTGAGATAAAATATGAATTATGGAAGTTTTTATTTTTTTTTGTTGTGATCTCATTATAAATCAGGTAGAGGTGAGAATAATATTCAAATAAAGTAAGTATGTCTTTATTTATTTTATATTTCTCAGTTCTATAATTATTTTGTTGGCGGTTTTTTTGGGTACCAAATTTATTCATGGTTTGCCTTGAAAATAAAAAAACAAAATATTATAAGTATAATGTAACTTTATTGTGATATAATATTTTATTTGATATGCATGTAAATTTTAGTTGAATGTATTTTAAGAAAAATATTACAGTTTTCTTTTTGGCTTTTTTTTCCCTTCTTTATAATGGTAACTTTTTTCAGTGATGTAAGTTTGAGTGATGACAAACTAGTTGAAATTACCATTATTTAGTTAAATGCAAGAATGCAAGTCAGGGGCATTAACTCAGTTTATCTTATATATTTAAATAGAGTAGAGTTATATTTTATGCAATTTTGTAACAATTGAAATAAATAATAGTGTTGATTTATTATTATTCACTACTTCTTTTGATTTATGTGAAAAATTCTGAAAGCCTCATCATTTGGTCTGTGAGGGAGGGGAAAAGGGGGAAATAAGAAGGGGGACTGTCCAAGGGGTATGTGTAGAACTTTCATTAATAGAGATTAAGATATGTTATCATTATTTCAATGCTTTCTTAATTTTTTTCTTTATAGTCTGAAGATGTGAAAGAATCCTATACATGTATAGACGACATGGACAAAACATTGTTTATTGTGATCGGCTTTTGTGAGAGAAGTTTTATGAGGAAGAGAAATAAAACAATTGAACAATGAATGTCTTAAAATGAAATTAGTTACTTCTACATGAAAATTGAGAAAACATAGAGGCTAAATTAGGGGATGTTAAACAGAATTTTAAGAGAGTTCTCGAGCTGTCAAACTATTTCTGCCCATTTCCCTGTGACAATGAGCAATGTGAAATCTAAAAATAGGTAATTATATAAGTGTGTCTATTGTAATAACTATATTATGTGATATATTATATACATGTTCATAATATGAAGTGAATCAGTGATTTAGTTTGTTCAAATTCGATCTAAGTTTGACCATGACCTTGATTTTAAGAAATTTCATTTGGATATTACTGTAATTTGATAGTATTTTAAGAACATTGTTCTTATGTAAATTGTAGAGAGGTATGTTGTTTTCTGAAAAATTGACTGAAAGGTAAATAAAGCTAGATACTTTATGGAAGTGTATTAGATGATATAAATTTATCTTTGGTAATGATATATGAGCCGCGCCATGACAAAACCAACATAATGTGTATGCGACAAGCATGGATCCAGACCAGCCTGCGCATCCGCGCAGTCTGATCAGGATCCATGCTGTTTGCTATCAGTTTCTCTACTTGTAATAAGGTTGATAAGCGAATAGCATGGATCCTGATCAGACTGTGCGGATGTGCAGGCTGGTCTGGATCCATGCTGGTTGCAAATGCTGGTCGCAAATGCACTATGTTGGTTTTGTCGTGGCGTGGCTCATATTATTTTGAAAAATGGTTGTCATAGAGACTAACACATTCTTATTATAAATGGGTTATGTTGTTAACATTTGGTTTAGCACTGGTTGAACCCTTAAACCGCTGGTTGCACCCATACACTGGTTCTACCCATGCAGGAAGTGCAGACCAAGAACAGCTGGTAGCTACCATGGTCTGCACTATTTGCTATTGACAGTTAATAATTTGCTATTGACAGTTAATAATTTGCTATTGACAGTTAATAATTTGCTATTGACAGTTAATAATTATACATTGTATATTAATTGTGAAAATGTGATGAATGGTTTGGTCAAGATTGAAATTAGACTGGACATGTCCAATTCATGTGGAAAAGGTTACTGAAGAGTCTGTGTTACAAACTATATTCCTTTCCTATTTTAAGTAATAGATGTTATTGGGAACACAGCAAATGTGGGTTTTTCCCAGCTAATCCGTAGGTACGAACAAGATTTTACCATAATTGTCTGTAAAAGTTTGTTTTTACCTACGGATTTGCTGGGAAAAACCCAAATATTCTTAATTCCAGAGTAAGTCTATTCACAACTTCTCCTCATAGCCTTAGTATGAGAACTTAACTTTATTTTAAAGGTTATAAAAAAGGAAACAGACTTGCGAAAAACATGCTTAAAATTATATATTAGCTTTTTAGATAATTCCTAGAAAAAATGTTCTTGTATATTTTGTAACAATTCCAGACCAACCTGTGCATAACTTTATTTCAGGCACTGGTGGAAACTTAATGGACATTGAAATTTAGGAGAAATTGTGCAGCTTGTGGAAAACATCTTTTTGTTGCACTTAAACAAATTGCAGAAATTTAGTTACCAGAAGAGTCTAGTGATCATATTCAAACACATGTTAAAACAGAACTGCAGAAAAAAAATGAGATCTGAAATTTTGTAGATTTAAAGGATAACTTTCATTTAGAAGTGGAAAGTTTACAGTGATAAGATAGAAAAAGTAAGAAATGATTTGGAAATAGATACATGTAGTTGTAAAAGACAATGGGTCAGGAGGTGTCACTATACACTGAAAATTTCCCTAACATCGCTGTTGTACCAAACTTTCAACAGTTGCTGCCACATTTACAGAGGATTAAACCTAAGCTTCGATTCAGTAAGTAAACAGTTTGGTTTTTCTTGCTCCCTTAATTTTTATATGAAGCATGTTTAGTTGCTGCTTTGACCTTTCATCATTCTTCTACTCTTCAGTCAAAATTTACTTACTGTCACACTTACTGCCATACTCACTGCCACACTAATTCTTACTGTCTCACTGATTTACTGTCTTGCTTACTTTCAACTTCACACATACTAGCTATCAAAGTTGCCTACTGTCACATTTGTTTACAGACGAACTTACTGCCAAGCTTACTTTAACTGTCTAACTTACTTGCTGTCAAATTTACTGTAATGCATACAGTCAAGTTTACTTACTGTTTGTATACTGTGAAACTTACTGTCAAGAACTTAGTTGCTCTTAAACTTACTGTAATTTTACTTTCAAACTTATTTACTGTCTAGCTTACTTGCTGTCAAACTAACCATCGCAAACATGATGTTATTCTTACTAACTGTCTTACTTGCTGTCAAATTTACTGTCACACATACTGTCAAGCTTACTAACAGTCTTACTTCCTTGCTGTCAAACTAATTGTCACACATGCTGTTAAGCTTAATTACTGTCTAACTTACTTGCTTTCAAACTAACTGCCATATTGTATCAGTTTCTGTCAAGTTTACAGTAACATTTTCTTACTTTTCATAGCACCTTCATTTATTCACTGATTATTAGATATTATAGATATTTTTTGTTGGTATCTTACATGCACCTTTAATTTTGGTTTGGGTTTCAGATGAACTAGGTCAAGGTCATTGAGAATGAAATACCTTTCTTCAAAGTGCCACAATGTTTTTAGCTACTTTATGGCACTCTATTCAAGTGGCATCCTACTTTATTTTTCTTTGAAAGTTTCATGCACCAATATTATTGGTTTATTTCATACAGAATTTATTTGAGTTTGATTGTATAGGAAGGCACAAGGTTATAGAGTCTGCTGATCAATGCCCCAACTTCAAATGAAAAGTGTCACGGAAATAAGTCACATTCCATAATCTGTTCCTGGAACCAACCAGTACTGAGCAATGAGTGTAAAGTTTTCTTGGTTTAAGGAAACAATAGCTTGCCTCTGACAGGGTTTGAACCCACACAGCTAGAGATCCTGAGATTGCTAGTCTGATCTCTTAAACCCTCGGCCATGCCACCACTTAACTCACCATCTTGAAATTGTCTCCCTTTAATGCAAGAAACTTTTTGATAAATTTCACACATAACTATATATATAAATCATTTACGTTTTAAACCTAACATTATTTCCAAGTTGTCTCCCTTGAATATAGATTATGAATGATAAATTCATTTAAAGGCACATTATGCCTCCGAAATCAATGATTTTTTAATTCTTTAGAAAGGTCAAACCTGTGTTTAAACATGTTCTAGTAATGGATTTAGAGCATTTTAGTTGTTAAACAGCTAAAGAAAGTAGCACTGAATGTGCAGTGCAGTTATTTGTCGGTAGGGAAGCAAAATGTAAACAAAGTACATTTGTACATGTTTAAGTATTTCGACTTCCATGCACACTACTAAATCACTATAATTGTAATAATCACCAAAGAGCAAAACAAGCAAAAGATAAAAAATAATATAAATGACCAATGAGTAGCTTTTTGGAAACATTAAAAAGGTAACAAAAATAAAAAAAAGTTTCTGAGAAATATAAATTATAGCATTTCTGCAAACTCCTCACAGTGATTACCTCCCTTGGCAGAATTGTAATCACTGCTTTCACAGATGTCACATGATGATGAAAGTCACATGACGTAACGTCGAAATTAAAAAGCTAAAAAATATAAAATATCAAAATATTGATATTTAAATGTTTGTGATGGCAGAGATCTCTGTACTGATAAGGGGAGATCACTGTGTAGGAGATTGGCATTTCTGAGGCTTAATGGGCCTTTAAAAATTTCTAATTTTTTGGATGGACAAGTTATTTTGAAATATACAGCATGCTATAAGGGGTTTATAATATTACATAATAAATGATTTGAAATGGAAATTTATCTATCTGCTTCAAGTGTTTATATACATGTATATCATTAATGTAAAAATAGAATGATGATTTATTTAACACTGCATCTGTTGGTACGTATTTTGTATCTAATTAAATCAGAAACTAATTACAAACATTAAGGTTGCTGAGTTTTTATTCCCTAAATTTTGTTACGTTAATTTCATGTGGTTAAAATGATGAGTTTTGTGTAAAAGCTATTATCTTGCTTGGAGAGATTATGAATTTTTTGTTTGTTTTTCTGGTTTTTAAGCCAATTATAACATAATTATGTGGTAGGTCAAATCTCGGTGGTCACACAAACTTTCCAGATTTCCTGGATAACTAACTAATAATTACAAATTTCTCTATTGAATTGAGCAGACGGACTGAGATTAAGACTTCTATATGCCGCAAGAACTATACAGCCAGCACAGTCTGAACATCTCTACTGTCTGAACATCTTTCTATAAATGTGCTGTCCTGTTTTATTTTGATTTGAATTTTATATTGAAACTGTTTCACCCCTAACCTGCTTAATTTCTTTAAATGGACTTGTCCAACTTACGTTTTGGGATTTGTCCATTATAAGCTTTTGGTGATATCAAGATGAGAATTTGTAGTTTAAAAGTCAGCTAACAGTATAGAGCCCGGTCTGGCTTGACCGGCACCATACTGGTGACAAAGTCTTTTCATGTTTTGGTTCCAGCAAGGTAACGAACTGTTTAACAGCAATAGACCGTTTCCAAATTTAAAGCTTAGGAATCTACTTCCTGCAATATAGAACAATAAAGTTAAGTTTCATTGTGAATCTCCATGATGAAACCTGCATTTATTTTGTTGAAATAATATTCCCCCTGATAATTGGGAACAGTTTTGTTTAGCTTTGATGGGTAATTTTCTTATAAACAGGTACTATCCAATCAATATGCTCTTCTTTTATGTAAACTAAATATTGTTGATGTTTGAATTAATCTATATTGTAAAGGTAAAAACCTTATGATGTTAATTAACTCTAGTCTGCTGGCCATGATAAGCTTGGGTATGATCATGGTCAACACATTTTGCTATTCATCTGGTACATGGGGCATCTGTGGCCGAGTGGTTAAGGTTGTTGACTTCAAACCACTTGCCCCTCACCGCTGTGGGTTTGAATCCCAACAGGGACTTCTGATTCTTTCATGTGAGGAAGCTATCCAGCTACCGGGTAGCTTACGGAACATCAGTGGTTCTACTCAGGTGCCCGTTCGTGCCTGAAATAATGCACGGAAGGGCACCTGTGGTCTTCCTCCACCAGTAAAGCTTGAGCGTCGCCAAATGACCTATACTGTGTCGGTGTGACGTAAAACCCAATCAAACAAACAAACATCTGGTACATATTTTGAATTTTTACTATATATGAGAAATGGTTTTGTCCAGATTTAAATATGAACAAGTTTATGTATTATATATGAGCCGCGTCACGACAAAACCAACATAATGGGTTTGCGACCAGCATAGATCCAGACCGGCCTGCGCGTCCGTGCAGTCTGATCAGGATCCATGCTGTTCGCTATCAGTTTTGCTACTTGTAATAGGGTTGGTAAGCGAACAGCATGGATCCTGATCAGACTGCGCGGATGCGCAGGCTGGTCTGGATCCATGCTGGTCGCAAAACCACTATGTTGGTTTTGTCGTGACGCGGCTCATATTTAGGTAAAATGGTAAAGAGTAAGTTTTTCATTTCTTAAAAAAAACAATTAAACAATTCAGTCCCTTTTTAGAACAGTCTCTTTATAATGTGTAATTATGATTAAAATAAAAAAGAAAATTAATATTTTGATTTGATTTATCATACATTTGGGTGATAAGTTAATAGTGATGAAGGTCATTCTTTTAGGTCAGGTATTAAAGGTCACTTCCTTCTTCAGTCAGGGTCTTTATGTGTACAATGCTGTCCATTAAAGGTTTTCAGTTTAAATTTTCTAAGTTAAGTACTTTTAAAGACTCAAACAATCACTTAACATTAAGATTCAGAGGTCAAGGTCAAACTAAAAGGTCAAAATGTCATGAAATTTAAATTAATTCACATCATACTAAGTCAATGTCTTCACTGCTGACTTGAGTTAACTTTCAAATTGCATTCTATTGAATATAAGCAAATCTTTAACATAATTGTTTATTTTACATAACAGAAATTTGGCTAAGCAAAACTAAATCTCAAAAATGAGTAGTCTTACTCTGGAATTCTGGAATTATGACTATTTTGGGTTTTCCCAGCTTATATACAAATGGGAGGGGGAACCGGGGAATGTACACCCGTAAGCACAACAGACAGACTTAATATCCATGGCACTGGTCAAAGTTTGTACCGAGAGAAAATTCAGGATAACAACTTTTACTTAGACATAGGTATAAATCTTTCCTTGGGGTCATTGGATTTTCTCATGACAGAAAATTATGAAAATGCATTCAGAGTAGATCTTTTCCTGTGCTAGAAATGTTAGAAAATCATCACATGACCACTTCAGTGTCAGTTTAACATAAAACCGGAGTTAAAAGGGAAAAAAAATACTCCAAAGATTTATCATCTCTAAGTATTGGATCTTCTATTTAACTATTGATGGCTTATAACAACAATAGAAGTGTGTGTAGAGTACAGTCAGATTTGTACTCAGGTGAAGTACCCAGCAGTTGTTGTAAGAAAGTACTCAAAAAAACCAACAAGGGTGGGTTATTTTTCTTCAAGCATCACAGACTGTTTATCATTATCGGTATGTTTAAAATTGAACAATAATTAGGCAACGTAAAACCATTTACCTTGGAAAAGCCAGATGTTGCATGTAATTAAATGTTCACTGTTAATGAACCTTGCAATATTCACTCTAGGTGATTTTTTATTCTTACCTCAACTGGTGTATAGTGAGATGAAGAAGAAAAAAAAAAGAATGAGAAATTTTGTAGACAGACATGCAGTCTTAATTATTTTCAAAACTCAAAAAATGTGAGGAAATTCCAGCTGAAATGT